GAAATTGTTCCAGTCAGCTGCCTTCTGGGATGTCAGGGTTTACCCTGAAGCTCTGGGAGTATCAGCTGGAACTAAGGCTTACTTGAAAACCAAACCATACCTTTTCACATTGGTTTGTGCAGGTTTTGGTGTGTTCTTTGTTTTTCAACACCTATTTATAATAATTTTTTGGGCTAACTCTGGCCCAGGTTAGACTTCCTGGATGCACAGACATTTTATTCACCTTTGGATTTCTATTGTCTGGAGAAATTCAGTTCATGTCACAGCTCACCTCCTTCACTGTTGCCCACGAGAGCATGGAAGCTATGTTATGATGTGACAGAACTAATGCTGGGCAAGGCTTAAGGTCTGGCACACACCAGGTTTAAGGATGATAGAAATACAAAGGCAGTCCAGCTAATCTGCCCCTCACTGTGCATATGGCAGCAGAACATCACTGCCTGAGGCAAGAGAGGCAGAAAAAGAGGCACAAAGAATGAACTTTATACCTTGTGGGGAGCATGCTGATGGAAGAGTTTGAGACACTGGCTTCAGGGTTGTGGCACTGTGGTACAGCTGGCTAGTATAAAACCGGGAATAAGAACAGGGATCCCCAAGTCCTTCCAAGCTAATATTTGACATGACAAGCTTCAAGAACAAATGATGTCCTCTAGCTGTCCAGCATGGAGCATGCTGCCAGACAGGAATAGACTGTTAACATCTCATCCACTGGGACCTGCCAATTCCGCCTGATTAGAGTGAAGGCTGATGGATATTCCGTGGAATGAATGACAGTTCAGTAGGAAAGAACTGACTGAACAGTTGTATGTGACTTCACTCATCTGCTTGCAGCCTATCACTTATCATGATAGTATTCAGAAGTGTCCCTGGAAGGGTTCCCATACACTCCTTGATATGAAATCTTAAAATAAGTAATGAAGGTATTTCCATGCAGAATTACTGTTATTTTTATCTTTTACTGGCTCTTTAACACACAAACAGCTGCAAAGGTGCTAAATTTTGTGGTAAGACTGAAATAACAAAATGCATTTGGTTGGCAGTGGGAAGAAAACAGTGTCTTGCAGGTCATTATTAAAAGATATGACTATGGAAGTGAATGGAAGAACTAAATTACATTGCTGTGTAAATAGAGCTCACGTATTCTACATAGTCATGTAATGATGTATATACAATAAAGATGGCATGATTTTAGTGTAATATACTCAGCTAGAGATAATATGTGCTCATCTGGTTGAATTAGTGTAAGACCCCTGCTTGACTCCCCCCCGACCACTGTTGTTGCCAAAGTACATAGTGATTAATGTGCCCCTCAGCAAATGAGATCAGCTCTGTCTGACTGTATTAGTTCCTGCTCATTGGAGTAACTGAGCATCAATCACGTTCTAATCAGAGCTCACGTACATTGATTTTTTTTGTAAACAGCCTCACCATCAGGTTCTATCATAGCCCAGATTAACTCCTCAGTAATGACAAAAAATAATAAAGGATTACCTAAATAATAAATGTGCTTTAATTTTTAACAGCAATCCTGTCACTTCAGATTGTCATTGTAGCTTTAGAGTCTCCAAAGATAAAATTAACATGTTAAAAACTGTAGTTATTAGTTATGTAAATATGTGTATACATATATGTGCAGTATACTGTCACATACTGAAGCATCTTTTAAGAGTACCTTTTATATTAAGTATTGCTTACCCTTAGCAGTAGTCCTTTTAAGAAAATACACATACCAAGAGGATCAAATTGAGTGACCTTGCTGTCCAAATTTACTGTTCTTTAAGAGTTACCGGTAGCCAAATATAATCTAACACCCACAAAAAAATACCACCCTTGTAGTGTGTAGCAAAACAATACTTGTCATACACAGAAGCATGAAGCTCAGATGTTCCTCAAAAGATTAACATTGGTGCTGATATATTTGACTCTTAGAAAGAAACAACTAAATTAAAGAGAACCCTTATCTTTTGTCAAATGTTGCCAGCTACTCTACTCAACAGTTTCGTACAATCAAGAGCAGCGTATTGTGTTCAGTGATGGATTTGTTAATTGTGCACAACTAGTAATGCGTCAGTGTCTTGGCAATACAATAAATGAAGCCCTCACAATCTAATGTTCCCACTTAATAATTAGTCACTGCATTGATCTTTCTGGTCTGTCAAGTAGCAAGGAAAATATTACGCTCACTTTAAATCCTTATATTGAATAATACTTCTATTATTACCAGGCAACTATCCAGAGACAGGTCTTACAGCACTAATGAGGACAGGAGCACTTCATTTGACTACAAGAGACTGAGTCTGGGAACAAGTGACCATCCTCTACAATGCACTGGGAATTCCCATCAAGGATAAGGGAAGTGGTTTGAAAGGATGTGAAAATCCCTGAGTGTTGGGGGGTTCGGGGCTTCAAAGTTTCACAATATCTAAATGATTTGATTGTGCTGTTCTTCTGTGCCAGATTTAGGTGGGGAACAGCACTGTCCATATTTCCAATAAATGCTTCAATTTTGGTATTTCTAGTAAAATCAAATTCAAGCAGTAACCCTCTGCTAAAACACCCATTCATGCATGGGTTTGGGGGGTTCAGAGAAAAGTTAAACGTAAAACTTCTGAGGGCCATTCCCACTTCCTGACTATATCAAAGCCATTTCCACAACAACAGCTGGTGCCCAAGTTGCACTCATAGCAATCAGGGAAGTATTTTGCCCAGTGTGGTGTACCAAAGTCATTTAAAATGAGCAGCAGTTTGTATCACAGGGGATACTCAATGCTGAGCTAATCCTTGCCAGAAAACACACTAACCTGGCATGCAGACAACAGAGATCATTGAAAAATATAGTTTTAGTTGCATAATAAATGATACATGATAAAAGTTTATTTATTAGTAAATAAGAGAGAGGCAGAAGCACTTTTGAGAAGGACAGGTAGTGATGGGAGAAGAGGGAATGGCTTTAAGAGGAGAGTAGATTTAGATTAGATATTAGGAAGTTCTTTACTGTGAGGGTGGAGAGACACTGGCACAGGGTATCCAGAGGAGCTGTGGCTGTCACATCCCTGGCAGTGCTCAAGGCCAGGCTGGACGGGGCTTTAAGCAGCCTAGTCTAGTGGAAGGTGTCCTTGCCTGTGGCAGGGGGTTGGAACTGGATGAGCTTTAAGGTCCCTTCCAACCCAAACCAGTCTATGATTCCATAAACACAGAATCTCTCCATTGGGCAGGTGCAGGAACTGAGCAAAGGAAAGTAGCCCAAAGGGAAGATGCCCCTTACATAGGGTACAGCATTACACTTAGCCTGCATTTGTGGAACACAGGACTGGAAGAGACCTTGTTCTGAACTTCCAGGTTCAGACACTTACACTTTAAGCAATGTCTCATATAGTTGCTTTCACAAATTTCCTGAGCACCTTCATCAAAACAATTGTGCTGCTTACAACTCCACTACTCAGGAACAGAAAACTGCTCTACATGGTCACTGTCTGAATAGGTACAAACTACTTCTAATTTCAAGGCTATCATTACCTGTTCTGTAGCTATTTGCTGTTGTGTCATTCACATTTATTTTAGCTAGGTCCTCTTCCTCCCTACGTATACCTCCTTGATATACCTACTAGAAGGAAGTATAATCTTGCCTTCTCTTTTGCTAAGCTGATCAAAAACAAACTCCTACCCTCTCCTCTCTAAAGAGAGCAGCTGTCCATTATTTCCTCCACCTTGGAGATGAGGGACAAGAAATGTGTAACTGCAGTCCATAGGTCTTTGAATAAGACCCTAACATCATGTAGTTCTTTTTCTCTGCTGGATATCCCAGCCTTCCCCATTCAAGGATCATATCTGCCTTTTTCACAGCTGCCCCACACTCTGTTTCATAATCCTTGCCCAGTTCAGGGGGGCAGGCCTGCTACAGATACAATGAGATGAACTGGTTTTCCCTTTTCCAAATGAGATGCTAAGTGAGCTGAAGGCACAGTTCCAGGCCTTCAGCATGTGCCAAACCTTTGCCTCTTGGCTCGTAGCATTGCTGAGCCAGGAGTCACTGTGTACCATTTAAAATTGGCTCCTGTGCTCTCTTTCACATTCATTTTGTAGACTGTTAATCCCTTCCACAGTTACCTAGCATATGAACATCTCTGTGAGTTGGTTTCAACTGATAACATGAAGGTTTGTGTCTTCTTTTAACTAAAATCCTCACCCTGCATTATACTCTTGGATTTCTTCCATTTTTATTATCCCATTCCTCTTGGCTACTCAGTTTTTCCTCTACAATATTCCTACTCCCCAAAGTACTGCCATAATTTGCTAACATTACGGCATTACCACACTGCACCCTAGCTCGCAGTCTGACTTGCTGTGTCAATATTCCTCACTAAAATACTCGACAAGGTTCTATGCCCAAGATAAAAACAAGGAGCTCTCCTTCAGTGCACAGGGAAAGGGACTGCTCTGGTGGAGGTAGGTACCAGAAAAAAAACTGTCATTTGGCAGCAGTTTGCAGAGAACCAGTGGGTGCTTGTGGCTGCCTTTCCTTGCTCCTCATTTCCAGTAAATGAGCTGAATTTCTGAAGCAGCTCATGTGTAAATAGAGGATCACAGGAGCTTGCTCAGTGTGTTGGTGGGGCTGTGCAAGTTGACAGCATTCTTTTAACTTTTGCAGCCCACTTATGATTTTGGTGAAAACAGACAGAATTGAAAGGGTTCTTTCCCCCTAAGGCATGAACCAAGATAAACAACATATACACTACGTGTAACGAGGTCAGAGGTACAACCCCACCAATATCCAAACACCTTTTATCACCTGAACCTGTGAAGATGTAAACTGTTTAGTGTGAGGTGTCCCTGCCCATGGCAGGGGGGCTGGAACTAGATGATCTTAAGGTCCTTTCCAACCTTAACTATTCTATGATGTAGAAAATAAACACGTGTAACATTTCACTTTCTGATCACTCCCTACTACATGGGCACTCTTTTGGTAAATGAAGACAGTGATGGACATAAAGATGGATTACCTGTCTGATCCATTCCATGCACATTCAAACTTGTCAAAGATGCAGTCATTTTCATAGAGGGAACACAACTTGCTCCTAAGGTAATCATGGACCTGTTTCAAAGAAAACAGCTGCTGTTATTCTTGGAATAAAACTGAATATAAAGCTCCACAACCAGCCCCCCACACTCTGCTTTATCTCCCATGTTCACTTTCCAAATATGCTGCACAGATTGGTAGCCTTGCAGAACATGCTGTATTTAAACCCTAAAGAAGCTATCTGTACTTTTCCACAGTCCAATTAACCTGGTGCTACAGAATTATTGTTGCAGGAAGGCATGAAGCATACCTCCCTCAGCAGGCTGCAGACCACCCCTCTTCAACATATTTGCTTCCTGCTTGGGTGATTTTCTCAGTGTTAGCCTAATTCCCAAAGACATTTCACCAGCTGATACCCTGGATGTGCTAATTAATGTGCAAGGAATCGAATTTAAATAGTAACAAAAATGTCATATTCCAAGATAAGCGGAGTTTCACTTGAGGCAGAAAGAACTTGGCTTTCTTAAAAGAACCTGTATGTATGGTATTACATATATTTGGGTAAGGTATTTCAGAAGTCAAATACAGCAGGGTTGTAGTTGCACAGGCTGCAAAGTAGAACACTAATTTAGCCCAAGAATATCTCCTACTTGGCTGAGACTTAAAAACAACATTGTAAATTCTCACTTATATATATATATTTGAAAAGTAGGACTAAGCAGCAGATCTCTCCTCCTGGCCACACATCTCTGCTGAACAAGAGTTACCATAAAGAGACAGCTCTCATACAAACTGCTTCAATTGTTTGCTGAATTTGATTAGATTTTCCTTCTGGATGATTGGTTTCATTCCACAAGGAAATAACGAGTTAGAAAATCCCTGCCTAGATGAATTTACTAATGCACTTTCACTTCTGATGCTTTCTTCTAGCTGTTGTAGGAATTGTAAAACAAAGACCTGTGGATGGCCTCTCAGAGCACACATACCAGTTCCATAGCCCAGGGGCATAAATTAGCTCTGACATAGAGAGGTATTGGTTCTTGCAAGTCCAGGGAGACTGCTGCTGCCCATGGATGCTCAGCACCCTTCTCTGGCTTGAGGGCATAAACATTTCTTCTGGTAGCTTCTATCAGACCAGATGAGGAACAATGACCTTTTACTTATATTTTCTTTAACCCATTTTCAGTAGCCAAATTGCACAGTATCCTAGGAATATTTGCACTGTAAGGTTATTAAGGATTACAAATTTTAGTTATGGATCAATTTCCATTAATAGGTGAGTGAGCACCTACTTGTATATCAACAGATGTCTTATACAGCAATAACAGGCGAATGACAGATAATACATTGCACAATTAAATGCATTTACCCTCATGGTGAATAATAGGTCAGAACACTTCAAGCAGTGGTGCAGTTTCTTGCACCCTCTGTAATTAAATCCTTACATTTTATCTTTACTTCAAGCCTTTCTATGTTAGCAGTATAATTTCCTTTATCATCTTTGTGAGCTCCTTACCCTTGGAAGTAATAGAAAGGTTGGGTAAGGCAGAAGGAAGTAGTTGCATTTGCCGCACTGATTGTCATTTCTAGGTCTTCTTCTTGTTACCATTTTCAGCAGCCATCTGTCATGACCACTGTCACGTATACACCCTTTGCAAAGTGCGTCCAAATCCACAGCTTGGAGCTGTGCCTTTCTATCACTCTGTCAAAAAGCATTTTGCAGTTCCTCCTTCAGATTTCTTACTGATCTCTTCAAGGTCTCAGGTCCTTTTTGTTGACTGACTATCTGAAGACTTGCACTCCTGCCTTGGACAACCAGCTTCCTTTTCATGTGGACCCTAAGACTGCTGTATTTGAACACATTTAGACCCTCAGAGTGACTATAAGAAACTAAGTGGAATAAATAAATTCTCCCCTTGTTTACATGTTCATCTGCCACTACCAACTGAGGGTAAAATCAGATTTGCCTTGTCTGCTACATATAGTTCTTACCACATATGAATAGTACTTGAATGTAAACCAAATTCACTCCTAAGTGATTACAAAAGACATTCTCCGTTTCTTCACTCTCCTGTTTTAGGTCAGACCTTCATGAAATTATCTAGTAATTCTGTGCTCCAAACTGAGAGAGCAACACAACTACACTATTTCACTGGAACTGAATAGTCACAATCAGAAATTGCACTGGTGTGACACTTTAGTCCAAATCCCTATGCAACAGACCCTGCTAAAAGTGGATCAAGCCATTACCAGCTATGAACGCATTCACCTCTGGCTGCTGTTGGTATGGTTCTGCTGGGGTGATTGACCTGGCAGCATCAGAAGAGCTTCTCCTTCTCCTGCAGAGAAGGACTTGGGGTTGTTGGTCGATGAGAAAATGAACATGAGCTGGCTTCAGTGTGCGCTTGCAGCCCAGAAAGCCAACCGTATCCTGGACTGCATCAAAAGGAGCGTGACCAGCAGATCGAAGGAGGTGATCCTGCCCCTTTACTCTGCTCATGAGACCTCACCTGGAGTACTGTATGCAGTTCTGGTGTCCTCAACATAAAAAGGACATGGAATTGTTGGAACAAGTCCAGAGAAGGGCCACGAGAATGATCAGGAGACTGGAGCACCTCCCATATGAAGACAGGCTGAGAAAGTTGGGGCTGTTCAGCCTGGAGAAGAGAAGGCTGCGTGGAGACCTCAGAGCAGCCTTCCAGTATCTGAAGGGGGCCTATATGGATGCTGGAGAGGGAGTTTTCATTAGGGACTGTAGTGATAGGACAAGGGGTAATGGGTTAAAACCTAAACAGGGGAAGTTTAGATTGGTTATAAGGAGGAAATTCTTTCCTGTTAGGGTAGTGAGGCACTGGAATAGGTTGCCCAGGGAGGCTGTGAATGCTCCATCCCTGGCAGTGTTCAAGGCCAGGTTGGACGAGGCCTTGGGTGATATGGTTTAGAGGGAGGTTTCCCTGCCCATGGCAGGGGGGGTTGGAACTTGATGATCTTAAGGTCATTTCCAACCCTAACTATTCTATGATTCTATGAATCCTGTTAGGTAGGGCTGCCTTGCAACATTCAAGCACTGGCCATTCCACTGTATTGCTCTTTTAGTGCTGTCTGGTGCATCATACTTTGCCTTTCTGCTTTTATGTGAAGCAAAACCAGGAGAAAATCATGTTGGATCATTGTCAGCAGATACGTTTCAGCAAGGCTGCAACAGCTGCTCTATGCAATAGCATTCTTTTAGCCACAGCATTGATAAGCAAAAACATTTCCATGAGGAATTTTTTTTGCTGTTACTAAAATTGTAACTTGATAATGAAGCAGTACAGTTACAAACTTTGCTCTTCCTTACAACCCTGTGGGGATAGCTCCTGTTGTGACCCTCCTCATGAGTCTCACGGCTAGATAATATCTAAGTGGCTACCATGCAGTGGATAAAATGAGAAACTGAATCTTTTAATGAATATCTTTTACTCTTTTAATGATATACATGCTATCATGATCATGTGCATGCATAATGGTCCCTTTATCTGTTGCCTTTGGGTGATCTGCCACAACAAAGTTTTAGAGCGATTTCCAAGTTTATACATGAGATTTAAGTATGTGAGAGAGAAATATCAGTAAGACAAATTATTTAAAAGATTAATTTATAACCCTTTTGCTTAAGAACAGAATTCTCTACTCTCTGCAGCTGAAAACCATGAAAGGCTGCCCAGAGCAGCTGGACTGTTTGAATCCTATGGAGTCCTGTTCTATTGGCTTCCAAAGGCCGATGAGTTACAGATTCTTATTCAGCCCACTGTAACACTCAGCAATGCATCCGTGTAGCTTTTACATTCTCAACATGGAGAAATATAACTTTCTAATTGCCACCACTGTTGGATGTCAGACAGATTTAAAGGTGGCCAGCTTGTTTCACAGCTACCTACATGAGGAAATATAAGCAGACGTCGGTCAAGACAAACAGGTTGGCTTGAGCAGCTATTCCTCTCCAGGGATAAGATTGCATACTCCAATCACATACGTATAAAATAATATATTATCTAAGTTCCCCAAATCTGAGCTGTGATTCTGTTATATAAAACACAGTCTCACCCTTATCTTCCCACTCCATTTTCACAGCATATCAACATTTCTAACACATTTAGCATTACAAGTGCTGCCATTTTCAGAGGAAAACCAGTTCTGTAGTCTTAAAGGTATAGAGGCTCAGACTTTCCAATACTTACAGGAGATACACTGAAGAGTATCCACTGAAATGTAATGGGTGTACTAGATAACACTTGGGCCCACTTTGTCTACTGAACACTAGCTGATAAATATCCCCAACATCATTGATGTAAAATTTCAGTTGTTTTGACAAGACATGCTACCAAACTCTCATTACATGTTATTTTAAATCAATCTTAGCTATAATCATTGTGAACTTCCGTACCACAGATGCCGTTATATAGACAGAGAAAACAAGGGATCATTCCAGCGTTGTCACAGGACTATGTCTTAGTAAGCCCTACGAGCCAGATGAATGATGTTTTTCCTGCTTTGCATACTTTTCTGTAGGTAGATTAACATTTTTTCTCATTGTGCTTTCATAGCAAGCAGTTTCTGTGTCACAGATATATTTTCCTTCTTCAAAGCAGAGTTAAAAAATGTAAGCACAGCCTTATATTGCCAAACAGAACAGATGTCAGAGTACAAGCTCAGTGCTGGCTGGAGCCACTGGCATTTTGTCTGGATAATATCACAATGAATTCAGGCAACCAGATGTGTCTGTCTGGCATTCAGGAACTGCTGTGTCAGTGGTGATGTCAGGGCTGAACACTGATTGCTTCTAGAATTACGCACAAGGGAGAAATGCATAGATGAAGTTTTTAAATGAAGTTCTGAAATGACAAAGGGGTAAACTCTCAGCAGTCCCAGCGGGAGCTGAATGCTAAGAACACACAAAATCCTCTCCTCAGTTACTTTTAAATGTTAGTAGTGAAATATATCATTTTAAAACAGATGCCAAAGTGAAGAGACGATTTGCCTTATTAGAAGCATCATTACCTTCATGAACCCAATCCACAGTGAGTGCTAGTCTGGCTCTCCAGGCCATACACTTCCTTACTAATGCTGAAATTACCCTTTTCCAACTACAGTGATGCCACTGTGAGGACTTTAACCACAGCTCTCTTAGCTATTGCTTCTCAGACCAAGCAATGAGAAGTTTAGGAAAGCATTCCTAAACATCCCAGGAAAATACTGTGTTTTTAAACAGTGACCTGCTTTTATATTGTTGCATTTCAAGATGTAGGAGATACCTACCTGGTATGTTTCTACGGGCTTCGTTTCCATGTTCAGATCCCAAACTTTGACAGTGAGGTAATCTCTCGTTAGCATGTATCTACCACTATGACTGAATTTGACATCTGACACTGAAGAGATTATTTCTGAAAAGAATGATCTGTTACTGGGATCTTCTGGTTCTTCATAAACTGTTGAAAAAAAGAAGCAAGAGAGAAATTAGAATTCTATCAGAAATTGCTTTGTGTACAACCGAACTGTGTATTTCCTCTGAAACATGTAGTTCAATGTACCAAGGGACATGATACAGAATGACCTATATTCCATACAGATACAGATATTTATTCTTTATATAAAAATACAAACTGTAAGCTTTAAGTATTATAATTAACCTTATAGCTAGGGGTTCAAAGCATCACTTTGGGAAGTGGTTTAAATACAGCAGTTAGTTGACTACAGCAGTTCACCTATGGTCATCCTTTATGGGGTTCACACGTCCTCTTCCCTGTCTTAACCAAAATTCAGGTGTCCCTGTCACACGAAAGGTGTACATGTGCTCTCACAATAGGGTTGGCATCCCCAGCCTGCCCTGGTTCCAGAGCCAGCTGGCCAGTCTGCAGGCTGCTCACCGGTCATGTCTCAAGACATCTGAGACTAAACACAACAATTTTGAAAAGCAATTGCAAACTGCTATTACCTCTTCCTGAGAGGTGAGCAGAAAATAGACAGTGATTTGATTTACCATGTGGACACATGGACTGCTTAGTTGATGTGCAATTGCTGACAGTTCTGGAAATAACTAACCTCACTGTACATGCTGGTTAGCTGTTCTGTGCACTGCATGACTCAACAAGGATCACGAAATATTGCATACAGTATTTCCATATGGGGAAATCCAGCTCCTGCAGCTAGGAGATGGTCATTCCTGCTCACCTGTACACATTGATACTGGATGACTTACACTGAATTGGAGGAACTTGAAACAACTGATACTAGTGGGCTCTGATTCATGTGTTACAGGTCCGCCAAGGTCTCTCCAGGGTCTTCCATTTTGGTCTTCCCCAAAATGCCTGCAGTAACTCTAACCCTGCCTACAGGGTCCCTACAGCAAGTCTGTTGTTTTTCTGCAAGTATCTACAGCCATGTGATCCAAATGGTCTCTAAGGTGAGCTTTCTGCTGAAGTCAGGCTTTCAGGATGTTTCAATTCTCACCAAAATCAGTGGGGTTTTGGCAGCTATGCCTAGAATATTCGTTGAAAATTGGCTATTTGGAGTGTCATTTTCAAGTCTCAAAAGCAGGTGAAGAAAAGCCATGTGATGAGATGTGAAAACATGCTGAAAGTAGAACGACTTCTTACTGTCAGTCAAAACAAAGGTTCTTTTGTAGTCCAATGGAACATTTCTCTCTCACCTAATTTATCTATGACTATGATTCAGGCTGTTGAAAGCAACAAGGTTACGGTTTCCATCAGGTGAAATAATGTTCTGCTGAAAGTTAGGGGTGAGCATGTGGGCGAAATATGTGGGGTAATGCAAAAAATGATGGGCAATTTTCTTTGGGGGTGGGCAGTGGAACGCAGCCAGGTGTGCACATGAGAACGAGGTCTATATTTGAACATGTACCACACATCAACATGGTAAAGAACTACTTCAAAAAGGGGGAAAAAACTTCTTTTCAGACAGGCTGTAAATGAACAACTTTAAATAGCTCTCTAAAAATTTGCCTAGACATTGTGCAAAGCAGGTATTTTGTAATTATCCTGTCAGGTTTTCAATAGAAGCCTGATGAGCACAAAGCAATTATCATTTCTCATACCTCTTCCCTTTAATCTGTCCAAATTCTGTACTTGGCTGGCAGGAATTTAATCCTCCTAATTATGATGTGAAGTTGCTATTAAAACCAGGAAAGAAAAAAATAACCAACTACACACTAACTGAACTACACCTTCATTTACAGCTGAGATATATTTTCTTGGCTCTGTGTGTCTCATCCAAATGATTAGGAGTAGTATTTGTACCAGGATACTCTATATTTTATTAATTTATGAGATTAAGCCATTTAATCCTTTATCTGCACTGTTTATTGCTTTCCTATTCTTACCACAGTAAGTATTAGAAAGACTTAGATTAATTAATTGCAGAAACTAATGCAGGCATGAAAGCTTTGTATCATTACAGAAAGAAAGATAGTAGTAGAAATTTTAGTAGCAGCAATTCTTTGCAGGTAGTTCCTATAGTCAGCATAACCAAGCCAAGAAAATTGTTACAGGAAATTAAGCAGCAGCTCCCAATGTTACAGAGAAAGCTTAGCAAGCAGCAGCAGATGCCTGAGCAACCAGAACAAGGCACTGGCCTCAGTAAACGAGACACAGTGTTCTTGGGTCTTGGCTATTTCTGGTTTAGAATTGATGTAAGGTTATGCATACGCTGCAAAAAAGCATAATCTTCATTCAATTTGGCTACTGCAAGTTGAGTAATTGGAGACAGAACAGCAGTGACAGCCACATGACTTGGACTTCAGTTCAGGCAAGCAATTTAAATTCAATCCTGGCTTCCTCAAGCTGATAGAAGAAAACATAGTGCTTGCCTCCTGTTTCCAAAGCCAGGCTTACCAGCCTGCACTGCAAACACACTTTTTGTTCACTGCAGTTTAGACTTACCTTTTGGAAGCTGCTTTTATTCCAGGGGCAATCTGCATCCAGAACACCAACCTTCAAATCTAGCATACTTTTCTGTACTTAAATAAATCTTGTTAGACCAGGACTCGGAATCAGAATTTTACTGAGATTTGATTACAAGTTCTATTATAATCTTTGAATAACTTTATTAACTTCTTAATAACTAACTTTGGCCATGAAAAGGGGTATTTAACTTTCATTAATATTGTTCTTGATGACCTTCACTGTGCTAATTATATGAAAGATGCTAAGCTACCTGCCTAGTTGCAAACTAATGAACATAGGAAGCACAGATGGCGTGGTGTGCTGAGCTTTAACATGACACTGCTCAGACTTAAATATGACCCTCATGACAGGACTGTGGAACAGAGAAATATCATGGGGATTATGGACGGCAGCTGAGCATATCTCTGAGTAAAGCCAGTGTTGGAGTGCAGCCTCCAAGGAAGGCACCAGTCCTGCCCCTTACTCCACTGACATGGGTAAGCTGGGAAGTCTGCTTAGGCCTCTCATTAAGCTTATGTTGCACTCTGGGTGCTGCCATTGCAACTTCCTATTTATTTTGATATGGGACTGACTCCACAAACTTGAAAGCTGTACGTTTTGGACAAGACATATCCAATTATAAAAACCCAAAGAACAAACTAATCTTCAATTCTCAACAAGAACCAATGGCTGACAAAAATTACTGGTAATACATGTGAATGTAACTTTTTTTACACAACTTGGTTTTTAAGTTTTAAATTAATTGCAAAAAAAGTGATACTTTGAAATCCCACTGTAAAGGCCTGAAGAGAGACCAGGTAGTCACTGATAGTATCTTCCCCTTCAGCTTCACCAGCTACCTTTCACTGCAGTACAATATTCCATTTTCCCCTAATACGTAACTGGGAAAGAGAGATATCAAACTACCATACAACAACAGCCAAAAATAACTCAGCCTCAGAAAACACAAAACCCCATGTTCTTATAAAAGGTTTTTCTCTTTCTTTGTCCCATTTCCAAAGATGCACATTTTTGATGGAGTCATTGCTATGCTTCAGACTTCAGCACCACTGAAAATTCATCTGTAGTTTGCTGAGCAGAGCTTTAATCACTGCAAGGTTGTCCTGGGTTCAGCAGTAGCAGTCATTTTTCTCCTTCTTGGTAGCTGGTGCAGTGCTGTGTTTTGACTTTCGGGCTGGGAACAGAGCTGGTAAAAATGATGTTTTGGTCTGGCCAAGGACTTTGTGAGTCTCATGCTCTGCCAGGGAGGAGGGGAAGCCGGGAGGAAGCAGAGACAGGACACCTGACCCAAACTGACCAAAGAGGTATTCCATACCACAGCACGTCATGCCCAGGATGTAACGGAGGGTTACCCAGAAGGGCTAGGTGGACTGCAGAGTTGGAGGAGGTGTCGGTTGGTGCTTGGTCAGGCTGGGGGGGGGCGAGTTATCGGTCACCTGGTGATGAGGTGTTGTATTCTCTTCCCTTGTTATTTCCTTTATCATTATTATTATTGGTGGTAGCAGTAGTGATTTGTGTTATACTTTAGTTACTAAACTGTTCTTATCTCAACCCATGGGAGTTGCATTCTTTTCGGTTCTCCTCTCCGTCCCTCCAGGAGTAGGTGGAGGGCAAGAAGGGGGGGAGCGGGTGAACGAGCTCTCTGTCTGGGTTTAAACCACGACAAGGGTATAAATTCTGGCATATGTGAACTTTAAAAAATAATAATGCTAAAAATGGCTCATATGGTGGGTGCAGTGTCACGGTCTAATGTGGCATACAAAACTGTATTCCTCCCAAAAGCCATTGCAACAAGAAGTATACATAATTCTCTACATTATGCTATAGGTCCCCAGTTAATGCCTTGGATGATTTTTTGACATTCCTTCCACCTCCTCCTTTTCCTCTTATTTACAACTTTTGCCTGGATCAAATAAACATACTAGCACTCAGAACACTGCTACAAGGCAGATGGTTCCAATATACAAATAGGAATAATGTTTTTAAACACACAAAGAAGAATGACCTATTTAAAGGGAAACCAATAACAGTATCTGAGACAATACAGGGCAGGGTTTAGAAAAGCTATCTATCTAATGTAATGAAAGTTTATCTGGAGCTACTTTTTATTTTCAAGCTGAATTTGATGGGATAAAAGAAATGTTAACTGTATTCAGTTAAACAAACCTTTCATTGCTTTTAAAAGAGAGGAACATAGAGTATAAGCTTTGGCAAACTTGTTATCATGGCTTGAGCACTTGATGATAACTGCGTTTACTGTGATATGCCAGTAAACAAAACAAAGAGAAAGATAAAACTAGGAAGGGAGAAGACCTTCAATGATAAAGCTATGTACTCCTTAAGGCATAAAGATATGAACCTTGAAAATTTCTGTTACTGCCAACAAACAGCAGAACTCTGGATAAAAACAACTTTTTGCTATTACAAAGCCAAATATATTTAAAAAGAAAAGCAAAGAGAATCATGCTGACATATACTGTAGATTATGCAATTATCTGAGGGTAAAC